GATGAAAAAGAAAAGGTTTCGCGTTGGATTACGCGTTAAACCAAAATTGTGGTTTTGAAGGATTTCTTCGACAGTCTATTTCCGTATCTTTTCAACTTGAGTTATATTTTTTTGCCCCCATCACGACGTCAGAATTTGTTCTTTTCGCGTAGGACGCGTGAAATCGGTGCTACCGCGAGACAGACTTCTTACGCTTCGAATATCTTATGCGAAACGTGTCATTCCTATCTTCTCTCTGAGAGAAATGTATATAGGTATATACATACACACACACATACATACATATATATAGTTGGACTTCTCTTTCTTTATTCTACATCCACCGTAAGTGACATCGTTTTACCTTCGTGTTCAGCCCTCTTTCCTTTATATTTGTTTTCTCGAAAATTGTTTCCAGAGGTATAGGAGATACGATAGAAGTTATATATCTATCTACTATACCTATAGGTAAACGGAGAAGGAAATTCTCTAGACGATACGAAAAGTGATATGGAAAGTCGACGAAGCGAAGAATACGCGATGAGAAAAAGAAAGAAGGAGTCACGGATTTACTGCTTTTTCATTCGCTTAATGGACCGTTTAATACACGTCCGATCCACAAGTATCTCGCTTTTGTCGAATTATCGATTCTTATTAGCCAAGTGCAAAGTTCCAAAAGTTTAACCTGGCTTATGGTCGCGTGGAAAGAGACGTAACGAGAGAGAGAGAGAGAGAGAGAGAGAGAGAGAGAGAGAGATAGAAAGGGACAAACTTTAAAACAGTTTCCTTCTTGCGAAGGTCGAAAACTCGGCCTTTCCTCGACACTCGCTGAACTAAATTAGGCCGAGGTTTCACAGTTTAGCATCTTCAAGAGAGCAAACACCGACTTGGAGAAACTTCAAGCAAACGTAGTTTCTTCTCTCCGAGAGAAACTGACTTTCGTCCATCGAATTTACTTACAGAGTATATCTATGTATATAAAACTATTTATGTATGTATCTATGTATCTAAATCGATCCGAGTTTAAAGTAAAGTTACCGTGGGAATCAGAATCGCACGAAATTTCATCCGGATGAGCTATTACATATATACGTCTAGCGTATTTTATCTATCTACGTACGTACCATTTATCTTTCATTGTTCGTTAAACATTCTTCTCTTGCTTTTTCCTAATCGATACGAAAGAAAAGAAAAAAAACGCGTAGCGTGATAGAGAGAGAGAGAGAGAGAGAGAGAGAGAGAGAAAGTGTATACGTCTCTATCATGGAATATCATTTATAAATTATTTCCGAAGGGAACACCATTTATCAAACTACTAAAGTAATACTAATCTATGATAGTAATTGTTAGAAAAAACTATTAATATACATCATGTTTAATGTATAAGAACGTTTATTTAATCTACCTATTCTAGTTTCGTATAACAATTATATTACAATCTATATGAATATTCTCTTTCACGGTTATAACATTTGATTATTTTTCGTATTAATCGATATGGAACGTGATATTTATTCAAACGAAAATTGTTAGAACAAAAATGTTGAGATTATAATAGAGAACCCAGGAATACATCCAAATTGAATGGCACACGTTGTTCTACATCAGCGAGAGACTTTAGTAATTTTAGTGCATCATCAAGGATCACTTTTCGTTGATGTTCATACGCAGGTCGAACTGTCGAAAAAATATCAATGGAAAATGAACGATTTATTTTATAATCCATGTTGATGTTGTTTGGTTGAACGATGCTGTTTGCTAGCTACGAATATTTGCAGAGATTTTTGGCAACTATTAATTTACTGTTCTTTCTTTTGTGTAATTTAACGGACGTACCGGAAAATGAAAACCTATCCCGAATTTAATAACCCGATACATATAACTAAATTACTTTCCAAAGTTAGCGTAGTTATCGAGATATTTTGAAAAAGTATCGATACGATAGGAGAGTGGAGTGGGGGGGGGGGAGAGGGGGAGAGTAATAAAAAAACGGATTCCAGTTTCGAATTTCGCGACGATTAGTCAGAATAAATCGTCGGCGATATCGCTTCCGTTATTTTCAAACTTTTCTAGTTTAATGATCCAAAGCCAGTCCGTATCCTCCGTGGGCAATGGCCGTACCTTAAAAACTGCATTATGTGACGCGGGTAGATACGTAACGCGAAAACTTTCTTCTTATCCATATCCTGTTGCGTTACTCTATCTTATTGAATAATTCAGTTTCGGTTTCAATGTTTTGTTATGATGTAAAGGAAAGCCACGTAGAATAAGTTGCACAATCCGATTATAATTTCACGCGAATTTTCCTCGTTTTATCGATTCGATGTTCGTTCTATTTTCCTCTCGCATCCTTTTTTCCTTCTTTCTAATTTAACGTTTCGGCTTATCGTTTTATTACTTTTTTTTATTTTTGCGCCTTTTTTTTCTTTTTGGTTTCCCTTCCAACGAACGAAATCTCTGACTCTCAATTTTGCGATTTACGGCAAAATCCAGGATTTTTAGTTACTATCATTCTTTCGCTCGTTTTCACATATATTTTCGATCGGCCGAACGGTTAACAATGCGTGCGAACACCGCGTATAATCGTATTTTTAATATTTTCCTACATAGGTTAATAGTCGGTTACGTTTTATTGTACTTTATATGGTCGGTTTCTATTTTGTAATAATCTTCCGGTCTTCTCTGATAATTAGTAACGCACACAAGTTGATAGGCATTAGTCGATAATCGTATTTCAATTGGTTGTCCAATAGTCGAAGGACGAAATTAAAATCCAATCCGTCCGCGTCGGTTGATCGGGTCGATAGGCTTGATCATCCTGATAGTTAACGATCGCGATATAATCTACGAAATCTAATTTTAGCAGGAAATTGATAGACGCGGTCGTTTGTGCGTGCAACCTGGTGTACGCGACATAGTATCGACCGCAAACTCGGCGAATGTAAATATTCAATCAAACTGATTATTTATTTCAATTATGTTATATTTTCCGGGTTGAAGGAAATCATTTGAGGCTTGCGTTATGTTCGATTAAAACCTAATATATTATATAAGCTCGTTGCGTTTTCCATTTTGCAATAGGTATTTATTTATTTACATTAATACAACATATATGTTATGTTCAAAGTGAATTACACTTTGAAAGAAACGAGACGCGATTGTTCGAGTAGAAATTTCGATTATATCAACTTGCAACGCAGTTGGCTTTTTACGCTACGGATATAACGTTTTTTCCGAAAATGCTTTTTCGTTCGTGCTGCCCGTTTGTTTCGTAGAAACAATCCGTACGAAACATCTCGCACAAATGTTCGGTCGGACAAAATTCAGTTATCGCTTTTCGACCTGTAACTTTTCCGTCTGTTTTGAATCGCTAACTAGACCGGTCTGTTTTCGAGATGTGCGAGTAGTAGACTGGCACGAAGACGTGCCAGGGAAATAATGGATGTTTTATGTATGCAGCTACGTTGAACGGTAACGATACGGGTATAAATATTTGATGAGAGAATTCTAGTAACGAAACGAGATACTTCTAGTAAGATTCCTTTCCCGGACAATCTATGTTTTTTTCCTGCTTCAATTAAGAAACCTAAATATGGTACTACGTGATTCTATGTCTTCCTTACGTCATCGATACTACTCTCCATTGCCGTTTTTATTTTTGCTCTATATTTCTTTTCTCTACGATAGCATTATTTCCTATTCGGTTTGATTCAACCTTTCCTTTTTACCGTCAATATATTTAAGATGGATAATACACGCGTTGTTGAAATAATACAAAATAATCTTCCTCGATGTTCCGAGACGTTTATTTCATTTTCAAGACAAAGCGTTTGCCAGGCAGGCACGCGCGCGAGTATCAACGAATGTTTACTTTACCTTTGGAGATAAATTAATTTATATGCAAATTAAGGTTCACCGAGTGACGAGACGCATTGCGTAACTAGGGTCCAAACTTATTGCTTTTATCGAGCAATTAGTTACATAATTGTTATTTCAAAGGACGTTCTCGTACTCTCGTTAGCAGCCTGATAATTTGATCTCTTATTCTTAGTTTCGAGGAATTAAGAGTAATAATTATTTCTTTATATCGCTAAAGTTAAATAAACTCGAAAAATAATATTCTTTATTTAATGTCTAACGGATGACTTATCGACGTCCCTGTATTCTTAGTTTCAATAGATGTGATAAGAAGAGCCCAGGTCCGCAAGAAGCACTTAACTCGGAACGTGACTCTATTTCTTAATGGGCTTGAAATTCTATCTCTTTTTCTTTGTCAGCCAATCTATCCTTCCTCGACATACATCTAGGAAAGGAAGGGCCTATATATGGGAAGGGTTATCCTATCATAAAGCCGAGATTATTAGGTTGGATTCGATGAAAAATTCTATTCTCCTTTCATTTTTATTTACTTCCGTTGACAGCTATTAACAACGAGATCCAATATCAAGTTTATTCGGTGAAAAAGTAATTGGTACATTCGTTCGGGGAATATTAAACATTGTTAAATGTTTCCCAAGTGCTTTTTATTATATTTACTTGATTTTATTCTATTTTCTTTTTTATTTGGTTTCATTTGATTTGATTATTTTGATTTTTCGTGGAAATATATGCGTAATCGGTAGACTTTCTATTTTTCTTTTTCCAGGAACAAGCGCGTAAATGTTTGCGCTAGTGGAACGTATTTTACATTAATGTTCCTGCTCGACGACATCGATTAATACCAATTAGGAAGGGGCTGCTCCTTTAACTCTATTTCCATTCCTACTAATCACCCTGGATCCATTTAGTAGGAGCTGAGGGGAAAGGGCGAGAGGACGAAATGAAAAGCGGGAATCGAGAATGGTCGAGTTGGCGAGTTACCGAGACAGCAAGAACGGTTCTCTACGTTGAAATACTGGAAACGCGACAATACAGGGCTGTAGCTAAAAGGTGTACCGGACCGACAAATATAGGTACCCACGTATATCTACATACGTATATCTACATACGTATATCTACATACGTTTAGGTGCGTTACTCACTGCATGTGAAGGGTCGCGACCGGCTTGTCGGAAAAGAGGACGACCGGTCGGTCGAATCGTTTGTTGCGACCGCAGACTCGAGCTCCACCCTCGAATTGAAGCCAGCCACCTTGGCACCTGCAACAAAAAACCGATTCTCTCTGTAACCAGCTATTACTCTCGCAAGAACAAAACTATCCTCTTCGGTACCATTTGCTAATTAATTTCGCTTCCTATCTTTCCTCCCTAAATTTTCATTTTAACAAGGGAATTGCATTCGTTCGTTAAATAAACTTACCCAATTTAATATTCACCGACATTACTTTCATTCTCATTCTAATATCTTTTATATTTTTTCAGTCCATCTATCTCGATTTATTTCAATGTCTATTTCTAGATATTAAACCATTTCCATCGTTGATAAAACAACAATCTTAAATTTGTCGTCATTTACATGCATTATTGCCAATACGAAATATTATTTTCAAAGTTAAGGACCCCAATAAGCATGGAATACGACGAAGAAATCGGTTTGACCTAATCGTCTCGAGTGTTGCTATTTTGTCCGAGCGAAAAGGGTTAATAATTTAGTCAGATTGTAATCTTATTTCATTCTTTCCCCATCCCTTTGTCCAAATAAATAACCTTTCCTCCGTAAATAGGAAATGCTTGGAGAAAAGTTGAATTATACGAGAACGCTGCTTCGCGTTTTAAAAGCAATGAATTAAATAACGTCACGTCGATTATCGGAGTTCTATGCATACGCCGTTGTGTTAAACACGTAGAGAATAAAAATGGTTCCAAGCATATTCGTTAACTACGTCCACAGAACCTTCGTATCAGCAATAATCTCTCTATTTCTTTTTTGCTTTGTAATTCTGCTTTTAGTATCACCGCCATCACCAGTACCATCATCGCAGAGCGAAAAATCTCGTTTCAATAAGACACGAAGAGCCAGAATTAAAAAATGCGATATTACGTTCCCGAGGATCATTACGATCGTTGCTGCAAGGGTACTAAAATAAACGATGCGACATCGCGTATATTCCGAACGGAGAAAAAAAATGTTACAATCCTCCCTTCATGCGACATTTTGAAAAGAGGTTAGTCGGTTAATTGTCAGACGATCCAAGCTGCGAAAAGTCGTTATTACGCCTAGCGTTTGTTTTCTACGCTAAGTGGGAAGAAGTGCTGTGTTAGGGTACACATACACCTTCTTTCTCTCTCTCTTTCTCTCTTTTTCTGTTTATGCCAGGAAAACGATTATCGACGAGGGGTTAGAACCGAAATTGCTTCTTCGTTTACGTCGAGCCAACTTCAAAGGATTTGTTTTACTATGGAAAAGGGAAAAGGGAATGATGCTGAACTATGTTGAAAGAGAAAGAGAGGGAAAGTAAAGGAAAGGGGAGGAAAAGAGAAAAGCATACACAGAGAGGAAGAAGATGGTGGTTGGTGGTAGGGGATAAGAGGTAGGGGATAGGTGTTTCGAAAGTGTGGTAACGCAACGTTGGTAATACGCAACGAGGGAATCATGCTGATTCAATCAGTTCCGTCTTCTCGCTTTTGCTCTTCTAAAAGGGAAATACAGGAACGTTCTATAACACGCTTCGCTGATTATTCGCCGTCAAGATTTCGTGAAATATCGCGCCGGAAACGACCCTCTTTCCAATTTGGGGAAACCCGAGCTCGACCCCTTGTCACGCGAAATCGAGGTTGTCTTTTAACCTCTAATCAGTATACCGGAGACATTTACGATTGCTTTCTGGGAAATTCTCAAAGTATTCTTACTCTCCCGTTACTCATCTTATATCCTTTCATCGGCTAGAAAACGATTTATTTGACCGAAACGTCGATATGTAATCCTCGTGGTACTTAGATATTCGCTAAAAGATCTCGTAAAGATCTTTACGTGAGTTTTATAAGTCATATTTTTTCTTTTAATAGTATTTGATTTCTTTAAGAACGTGCCGTGCAAGCAAATGGTCTTATCCTTTTCTATATCTCTTTAATTCGTCAACGTGCTCGAGTCTTCCTGACCTAATTTCTTATACGTTGATAGAGTAAAAGAAACAAAAGGATTAGTTTTTTTTTTCTTCATGAGAGTTCTGACGATATTAGATGACGAATAAAATGGGAAAGATATATTTGAATTGTAAGGTAGACGAAAAATTCGATTTAAAAAAGTAAACATATCGTCTTGTTGACCCCGGATTAACTTTATATTATTTTTTTGTTGTTCCCCGAGACGCCACCTCGGCCGTCAGTCGGTTGCTTTTATTTCATTACTCGTGCCTCGCCGTATTCGCGGAGTGACAATGAAAAATTCCATAATTATTATTTTCTTAATATTACTTTTTTTCTTCGACGGTAAAAGGAAAGATTAACATTATACAACACGTTCTATAGGCGACGGAGCAATCCTACGTTGGGATTTTAAAACTGAGACAATTATGGAAATAAATTCTTTTGAAGCTTCTCCCTCTTTCTCTCTCTCTCTCTCTCGCTTTCTTTCCTTGCATTTTTTCAGGACTATGCAACGGCCGTTATGGTACCCTTAAGTTACGAATCGCTACGGTATAACAAATTTTCCATGAAGAAATCAAAATGGACAATTATGGAGAGAAAGTATAACGAAAGGTAGAGAGAGTGAGAGAGAGAGAGAGAGAGAGAGAGAGAGAGAGAAAGAGAGAGAAATGAAAAAAGATGGAAAGATAGAGAGTACGGAAGCCAACGTCATCTGCATTCGAATGAATGCTTAAATTACGTGCATAATTCATCGTCCATTTGTTGAACAGGATTCGAGGATTCGCCGAACTTTTATATTGACTCTAAAAGTAACTTCCTACCTTCCGACGAGTATTATTATTTTTTCCTACCTTCCTCCAGCACCACCAACACGATGCCTACGAGGAAGTTGAATTTTTCTTTTTATCCGATGAATGGCTTCGAGCGAACGTCTCCTATCAAAATTGCGAACGTTTCGGGGGACTGCGCAATTATTAGTGCTCGTTCGACGTTATAACACTTTCAAAGAATTCATTTTTATTGTTAGCGAAATATCCAATCTTATCGAAATTTTTCTGCTTGGCTTACATTGTTGAACGCGATAGTAGCCATCGTAATTGGAGTCGATGCATGGGTCTTATGTATGCATGTATGCAACAGAGAGAGAGAGAGAGAGAGAGAGAGAGAGAGACAGCTTGATAGACTCGGTTGATTTGACTACGGATTCCCCTCCGTTTTGGGTCGCGTAGTAACATCAATAACGTTAATTAACATATCAACGAGACAATCCCAGAAACGCGTTTACTCGAGCAATGCCTTTATCCATTCTCGAGAGTTCCCCTTTACCTGAGCTAGGCTCATTCGAATCTTGATATAATCCAGCATGTAGCAACACTTGCGTTCCATTGTTAAGCGAAAGCTCGGATACGTCGTGTCATAGTTCAACCGGTTCTATCGGACGCACCGCTTTTGAATTAATCGCTTGGCTTGCCTTCGATAAATTGCCGATTCTCTAGAGATCTTTGTCCTTTCCGAACGAATCCGGCAATTTCCATTGCCTCTGGCATTTTCTATCTCCTTTCTCTTTTCGTTTCCCTTTCGGTCAGCACGTCGATAAAACTTTTCCCTCGTTTTCGGTTCTCTATCGTATATCCAAACCCGAGAAGAATGAAAACCTATTTTCCTATCTTCCAAACGTTTTTCCAAAGATTTATGAAACGTCGTAGGGGTTAAAATACATCTTCTTTACAAACATTGCTTTTTTTCCGGGATTCTCTTAATTTTCGAACGAATAATAATGTGACGCGCATAAAATGAAATTTGTTTTACGCGATAATAATAATACGTAACGAAGAACATTACGTTTTTCCTTCCTTTTTATTGACTAACGCGTCGTACGATAAATATAAAACGTTTATTTCTATAAAAAAGAGAATAATAGTTATTAGTCTTTTGCGACATTTAGAGAATATATCGATACTGACGCGATACGCTCCGGTTTTCGGTGCATTTGGCGTCTGGTGCAGAACCGTAAAAGCGCGAATCAGCCTTTCTCACTTTTTCTCCTTCGTTGGCAGTCGGATACACGTGAAAAAGAAGAACATGGACGGAGCAACGTCCGTAGAGACTCGGCGAAGGATCCCCAGGAAATTGGATGCTTTTATTTCGCCCGATTTTCCCAGATGCAACGGCTGGTATTCTAACCTTTTGCTTTTTCTTTCTTTCTTTCTTTCTTTCTTTCTTTCCTTCCTTCCTTCTTTCCTTCTCTTTCTTTTTCTTTTTCTTTTTCTCTTTCTCTCTTCTCTCGGCCATAAGATGAACTTAACCCATGACCAGAAGATCGATTCGATTTCTCCACGGAGCACTAGTGGTATTTCTATTCCCTTGTACGGCCGTTTGCAAGAATTTATTAAGCTACGAAACAGACCTTTACACCACAAATGCTGAAAATCCTCTTTCTTTTTTTCTCTCTCCCTCTCTCTCTCCCCCTTTCAAGGTAATAGCAATTCGAGATCTTTGTCTTATTTTTTTCCCTATTCTTATTTTTATTCTTCCGTAGTTTTTTCCGTACGACCACGTAAAAGCCAAAAATTCAACACAATCATGCGATCATTTTGCTTTCGATAATATCAAGAGAGATACCTTTTCGAGATGAATAGACGATAGTTTCGCTTTAGATAATTATATTCTCATTCTAACTCGAAAGTTATCATCGTGCGAAACTATTATATAATTTCCGTTTCAGTCTACGAGCTTCTAAACATTTCCCTCGCAATTTGATATGCCCTGTCTCAAAGATTCTCCCGCAGTTACAATATTACTACAGAATACGATTCTATACTCGAATTGGCTTCTTAATTATTGTCTGTTGTTAGTTAAAAAGTGTATTCTGTTGAAAAAATATTCGAAGAGAAAGAGAAAGAGAAAGAGAGAGAGAGAGAGAGAGAGAGAGAATAGATTGCGAAAATGGGTTGTAGTAAGTAAATGAAAAAGAAATAAGGGATAGCGTAATGTGAGTTGCGACTGTGTAGTCTCTCTGAACTCCTATTGTTTCCTTCACGAAGTGTTTCACGAGAAAATTTCGTAAACGTCCGTTATCTTGATAGCTCGTCGTCTGAGAACTAACGATGTTT